GGAAATTGATGCTTTGCACGCAGGGACGTGACAAAAATATTCGTCTTTCCGAATATATCTGAAATTTGCAGAACTGAGGTATCTAAATAATTAAAAAACCCTGCATCTGCGGAGAAAGTGGAAAGTCACCATTTAACGGGGCAATTTTTTAAGGTCTCTATACCAGCCGACATCTGTATAGAGCTACAGATGTTTCGGTCTAGACGGCAATATCAGTGAATGTAAAAAGCTTGAAAATGTAGCATGAAAAACTGCTTGACAATGTAGGGCATCAAACCAGTGAATGTAAAATAACTTGTAAGTGCAGGACCTCAATAAACAGTGAATCTAAAATAACTTGATAATGTAGGACAGCAATATCAGTGAATGTAAAATAACTTGTTAGTGCAGGACCTCAATAAACAGTGAATGTAAAATAATTTGGATATGCAGGACCTCAATAAACAGTGATTGTCAAATAACTTGTTAGTGCAGGACCTCAATAAACAGTGAATGTAAAATAACTTGTTAGTGCAGGACCTCAATAAACAGTGAATGTCAAATAACTTGGCCATGCAGGACCTCAATAAACAGTGATTGTCAAATAACTTGTTAGTGCAGGACCTCAATAAACAGTGAATGTAAAATAACTTGTTAGTGCAGGACCTCAATAAACAGTGAATGTCAAATAACTTGGCCATGCAGGACCTCAATAATCAGTTAATGTAAAATATTTTGGATATGCAGGACCTCAATAAACAGTGAATGTCAAATAACTTGGCCATGCAGGACCTCAATAATCAGTTAATGTAAAATAATTTGGATATGCAGGACCTCAATAAACAGTGATTGTCAAATAACTTGTTAGTGCAGGACCTCAATAAACAGTGAATGTAAAATAACTTGTTAATGCAGGACCTCAATAAACAGTGAATGTAAAATCATTTGGATATGCAGGACCTCAATAAACAGTGAATGTAAAATAACTTGGCCATGCAGGACCTCAAAAATCAGTTAATGTAAAATAATTTGGATATGCAGGACCTCAATAAACAGTGATTGTCAAATAACTTGTTAGTGCAGGACCTCAATAAACAGTGAATGTAAAATAACTTGTTATTGCAGGACCTCAATAAACAGTGAATGTAAAATAATTTGGATATGCAGGACCTCAATAAACAGTGAATGTAAAATAACTTGGAAATGCAGGACCTCAATAATCAGTGAATGTAAAATAACTTGGAAATGTAGGACGCTATGTATAAGTGTGAATACAAAAAGCCCAGAAATGTAGCACTCTGGTAAATAGTAGATGCAAACTATTTTTGAAATGTATATCGGTGAATAAAACTTAAATCTTTAAATTCTACTAGGCCAATTTTAGCAGTGAATGAAAAATAACGTAACAATGTTTAACAGTCAGTGGGTGTAGGTGTAACGTGTTAACTATACAATCATCACCAAGTCGTTATTTAAAACGTCTGTATTAGATTTTAATCGTTTATTGATTTTAAGAGATGCGTACATTATTTCTTTTTAAAGATTCAATAATGTGAATGGTTGAAAACTGAAAACAATAGATTGCCTTGGTGAGAAAAGAAATGGCTTTAGGTGCATCAACACCTGTTATTGTCTTGTACTAATTCTCAACGTAAAACAAATAACGTAACGACCTAACCAGAAAATGGAATGTATGGAGTTTTACGTCTTATTTCGTCTGTAAATATCAATAACGCATGCGCGAGGTGTTCGTCGTCTGAGAAATCGCGCACGGTTACCCGCACACAGTGTGCCATCGGCCACTAGTGGTCGAAAATATCAAACACGATAGATATTTTCCACACGA